CAGCTTTGGTGCCTGAGGTGGAACAAGAACTCTCTGTCACCTGGTGATTGGCCCAGTCATCCAACTGGCTCTCATGGCTAAGGTGGAAATAGGACTCACCATCTGGATTTGTGAGCGGGCAGTGTCCTTAGGCATGTACAGAGTGCTTTTTCCATCCCACTGAGATGCTCCTCATCGGCTGGCCCGCAGCTCTAAAAAAAAAGCGATTTCTTTCCGATCCAGCAGTGACCCCACTTCAGCTACGGATTTAATGGGTTTTGTTCCATTAAAACGGAGCAACGTTTTATTTTAACTGAATTTTTAAATTCAAGATCCTTATTTATCACTTTCACGTGGCGTTTTATTCCATGTCTGTAAGGTAAGCCAATTAGAGTCGCCTTGGGTGAAATGGACGGCATATACATTGGATAAATACATAAATAAAATCTGGAAAAATAAATTCTTTTTTTCGCTCCAGCACAGGAGACCAAGCAAACCATCTTGCCAGCTCTTCGTTGGGCATGGCTCTTACCAGGTAAAGACAGTATATGTTTGTGTCCCTCAAGCTGAACATTTCAGGGATGCCCGCACCAAGAAAGCTAGCAGCTCAGGGTTCGAGTTTCCTTGTGGAGCTAGCTTTCTAAGATGCGAGGGAGGCGGTGAAGCGAACCCAGGGACCAGAATTTTGAGGAGGGCTGTTTTAACATCCGCTTGGCTGTTTTACATAGGCGATGTCGGCGTTCAAACGCTTGAAACCAGAACGGATCAAGGCGCAGGCTGACAGAACCCTCGCGGCTGTGGCATCGAATTCGAATCTGTCCCCAGCTCTGTTTGTTCTTCCCCCGTGCTCCTGGCTTCCCTGCACACCTTTTCCCCATCTGCCCACCTTGAGGAAACACCTTAGGGCTCTTCAGCAAAAAAAGCCTTGGTGCAGAGTTCGCCAGGGGAACTCACCGCCACCGGACGTAGATGCAACCGCCCCTTCTGAGGGGATTTTGGAACAGGAAGAGCTGGATTTGGGGAGGAAAAGCCTATTGGGGGGAACCAGGGGGGGTTCCCCCAGTCTTGGGCAGTGTGTGTGTGTGGGGGGGGGAGCTGTGGTAGGGACCCCCACATCAAGGCTGTGGCATTCATCTTTCGGTTGCTTCCCCATGACGGGGAAATAAAAGGTGCCACCTCCACCTCGATTTGGCAGCCGTGTGTTTTGTAGGAGTGTTCCTGTTGACCCGCTTTTGTGTTTTTCCACCTTGACCCACGCTGACAAACCCTCCCTCCCGCAAGCTGCTAAAAAGATTCCCTTCCACATCCCTATTTTATTTTAATTTTTTTTTTGCACACTTGAGATTTAAAACAGTATTTCACACCTACTTCTCGCCGCAGTTGTGGTGCTGGCAGAAAACAAGCTGGAAGGACAAATTGTGCATCTGTAAAAAAAAAAAAGAGCTTTTTTTGTGTGTCTCTGTATTTGTCTGTCTGTCTGTCTGTGTGTGTGTGTGTGTGTGTGTGTTGTTTCTCCCACAGGCAGTCCGTGGTTAACGGCTACCATTGGGATTGAAACTTCCACCGGCCGTTAAATGAGCCCTGCCGATTTAACTGCCGTTTTGGCGCAACGGTGGCGAAGTGAATCATTAAGGCAGTCATTAAGCAAACCAAGCCGACGTTCAGCGAATCTGGCTCCTTCCTGTACTAGCTTTGCTCGTTGGAAACTTGTCCCCCTGTCACAAACGGCAAGCCACGGGATGCTGGCTGGGGAATTCTGGGAGTTGAAGTCCAAAAGACTTAAAAGTTGCCAGAGCCCTGGCACGCAGCACCCGCCTTGCCCGATATACAAGCCAATAATGCTCAGACGACCCTGGGAGATTCGACCGACGGGACTTTGGCTCGATCAGCCAACTGATCACACAATTCCAGGGATTTCGGGGGGCGCACCCAGCCATGGAGATCTTCCTTGGCTCGGGCCGAGCTCCGCTGTGCAGAACTGGGACCCTGATGCAGAATAGACTAGGCTAGAGCTGGAAGGGAGACCTGGAGGTCGTCTAGTCCAGCCCCCTCTTCAGGCAGGAGAATCTATATTATTTCAGATCAATGGCCATCTAGTCTCCCCTTAAAAAAACCTCCAGTGTTAAGAGCACCCACGATTTCCCGGTGGCAAGCAGTTCCACTGGCTAATTGTCCTCCCTGTTAGGAAGTTTCTCCTTAATTCCAAATGGCTTCTCTCCTGGATTAATTTCCAACCTTTTGCTTTCTTATCTTTCCTTCAGATGCTTTGGAGAATCATTTGACACACACACACACACACACACCCTCTTCTTCTTTGTGGCAGACAGGAAGACCGCTATCCTGTCCCCTCCACCAAAAAAATTCTTCTGTTCTTTAGACTATCCAAACCCAAATCCTGCAGCTGTTCTTCGCATGTTTGGATCTCCAGGCCTTCGATCACCTTAGTTGCTCTTCTCTGCACTTTTTCCAAGGTCTCAATGTCTTTTTTTTTTGTAGTGGGGGGGGGGGGGGCAAAACTGGCTGCTGTGTTCCAGGTGTGGCCTTACTAAAGGATTTAGGAAGCGGGACTAAATACTTCACGTAATCTTGATTCTCTGCTTTTGTTGATGTGCAACCCAGGATTGTATTTCTTTTAGAGATAAGAAGGAACACTGGCGGGGGATTTTCTTCCACGTCTTCCTCAGCTTTGAAGCTGGAAGAGTGGCTGAACCAGGACGTTGGGGTCCCGTTTGGGCCTGTGGGGTGGAGATTCTGCCCCTCCCACCCACCCACCCCCCGAAATCCCCTTCCCCGCTATTGATCCAAATCCTGAGCAGACCGAGGACTTCCTGGGGAAAGGAGGGTCAAAGAGAGGAAGCGTAACGAAGGGCTTCTATTGACAAGAATTGGGGGAGCAGGGGAAAAAGGGGGGGGGTCCGAAGGGGCAGCGGGGGACGCCGAGGGTCTCGGCCCAGCAGGCTGGAAGAGGGCCGGCTGCAAGCGGATTACTTGGCAGTCGAGACGGGAGGAACCGGTTCCTTTGTGGCGTCCAAGATGTCCGAGGGTGGTTTGACTTTAGAGGAGGTGGGGTCTTCCTCCGGAATTGGGGGGTGCTTCTGCCGCAGACACTCTTCATGCCTGGCTCTGTGGGGTACGGGGGGGGGGGGGGGGGGGGGGGGCACAAAAAACATTCCTCCAGCGCTACCACTTGAAGAGACCCCCACCCCCACCACATCACCAGCAATTGCCTTTATCTGATGCCTTCTGGCAGGGCTGGCCTACAACTCCCAGAATCCTCTGCCAGCAGGGCTGACTGTGGAGGGATAAGTGATGAGTGGGGTTATCAGGACTCCTAGAGGGGCCCCTTCCCCTGCAGGACCTCAGTCAGAGGTGCCCCCCCCCCCCCCCCCCCCC